AGCTGTATACATTATCGATCACTAACTCTGTGCTTAAGAAAATGAAAAGAAACAGAATAAGATTTACATATTGCATTTAAGTGGATACATTTACTGATGATAATTCCTATTCACGCCCTCCAAAAGAACTGTAAAATATCTCTCAGTTCTGTTTCCAGGTAGTCTTTTCCTTCATAGAATCTACTGGTTCAGTTTTTTTCCCCAAAGAAATCTCAGCTGAGCCATATCCTTCCTCCTCCTCTACTGAGAATTGCTTGCTCCATTGCAGCTCTGGGACTCCCTTCCATTTCTTTTCCAGTCCCATGTTTCCCTCTGGTCATTTCATCCCTCGTTTTTGAGAAGCACGTTCTACAGCAGCATTTGAGAAAGAGTTTACAAGAAATAAGTTTTTTGAGACATTGCCAGTCTTAACATATATCCTTATTCTACCCTTGCCCCTGCTTTGCTGGTTTGGCTGGTATAGAATTCAGCTTCCCTTTCACACAAATTAAATTAATAATAACAATAATTATAATAATAATTGTTATTATTTCCTTGGAATTGCAAATATGTATCTTCATTGTCTTTTTTCCTTTCCATTTGCATTGAGAAGACAATACCATTCTTTTTCTTATTCTATGAATAATCTATTTTTCCTCCTGGAAACACTGAGGATTTTTCTCTTTATTCTCAGTTTATGGTTATTTCATGATGAAGCTCATTGGTATGAGTCTTTTTCTTTTCATTGTACTAGGCTCTTGGTGGATTCTTTCTATCAGAAAACTCTATTTTTTGTGTTGTAAGATGTTTACTTGTGTTATTTTTTTTTTCTTCTTCCCCCCACTACTTGTATCATTGTAATACTTTTCTCCCTCCTCTCAGTTCGGTTTTGTTTTTTGTTTTGGTTTGTTTTGTTTTTTGGTTTCTATTTCTGGAATTTTATTATCCACTAGATCTATTCTCTAAGTTTCTTTTTTTTTTTTTCCTCTACTTTCCAGGGTTGTTGGGGGTTTCTTGTCTTTTTTTTTTTTCTATATGCAAGAATATTTCTCCAACATTATCCTCCAATATCCCTTCATTTTCCTTCTCTCATATTTTAAACTCCCCAAAATTCTTTCTTGTCTTTAACTGGAAATGTTGACCTTATTTCACTGGAATGTCGGCCTTATTCAACAGATGCAGTAACTTCTCTTAACTCTTTGAAGATTTTAATTACACATTTTTAAAGTTTTCTTCTATTCCCTGAATTATCTCTGTTTGCATAAACAGTCTCAACTCAGGTGGTCAGCTGAGCTCTGCCTGCTTCCCTTTCCTCCACCACAGCCTGGAAACTCTCTAAAGGCAGAAGCTGAAGCAGTCACAGGACTTAGAACATTTGTTTTCTGTCCCTTGGGAATCAATGTCCTTTGTTGCCTAATGTCCATTGTTTCAAAAACTGCTGTTTCATGTTTTGCATGCATTGGTGTTTGGTTATATCAGTTGGGGTAAGTTCAGTCCCTCTTATTCCATTTTAGGAAGAAATAGAAGTTCTGTGTGTGTCATTATTTCTGTAAAAATATCAATTTTTGAAATCTCTTGTTTTAATAGTTTTTCAGGTTATTTTTTTAGTTTTCCTGATGTAATATTCATATCTCTTATTCATACTCGTCTAACTGTAATAGACCATACACAGCAAATAGTGTCTCACCGCAGTGCTGAGAGTGCAAAACCATAGCTTTTAAAGTTTCTAGTGTTTTCACCCTAAACTTGATGCTGACTGAGGGTATGAAATATCTTTTTTATTGTTTGGTAAAGAAAGTATCCATCTATTGTAGTTTTCCTTTTTGTTTGAGTTGTTTGTGTATGTTTTTAAATCAGAACTAATTATGGGAGCGCCTGGGTGACTCAGTCAGTTAAATGTCTGAGTTTTGGTTTTGGCTCAGGTCATGATCCTGGAGCCCTGAGATCGAGTCCTCTATCAGGCTGCCTGCTCAGGGGGGAGTCTGCTTGAGATTCTCTCTCTCCTTCTTCCTCTGCTCCTCTCCCAGTAACCCTCCTCTAAAATAAATAAATAAATAAATAAATAAATAAATAAATAAATAAATAAATCTTTTTAAAAATAAAACTAATTATTGAACTTCATTTAAGGCCTTTGGCCATTAATTGAGATGAACATCATTTTCTCTTTGATCTATATTAGGATAGTGTATGATCTCAACATATATCAAGTACTAAGCTATACTTAATTTTCAAAAATGAATTCCACTTGCTGTATTTTATTGTTTTGCTGAATCATGTATTTTCAATATTTAATTTAAGGACTTATCGTTCCTATTCTTAAATGAAATTGGATGCTAGGTTAATTTTTTAGTGCTTTTTTGCAAGGTCTTGGTACAATGTTACTTTGGATTTCTAAAAATAAGGCGAAAGCTTTGTATGAAGCCTCTGGAACAGTTTAAATAGTAGGGAATTATCTGTTACTTAAAAATTGAAACAATTTACCCATGAAGCAGTGTAGGCCTAATATTTTAAGCAGTGGCCAGCAGGTGTAGGAGTCAGGGAGGTGGTTGGATAGATATTTAATCATCTTTTCAGTTTCTTTTATGGTGGTCTGTTTTATGTCTTTATGTCTCTTAAGGTTAATTTTGTTACTTAGAAAATTATCCTCTTACCCAAGTCTCCGAGTGCATTTCCACATCATGTTGCAAAACGCTGCTTCATAATGCTTTAAATATCTTCAGAACGTGTGGTTATTTCTGATTCCTCATTTATAATTACATACAAAATGGGTGATGATTTTCTTCTTTCTTTTGTCTTCTTAATTAAGCCAGGTAGGGGTAAGTATACGGTTAAGATATAACGGGCTCTGAGAGGTAAAATTGCCTGGGTTCAAATCCTGTCTCAATTATCTTGTGTCCTTAGTGTCTTCATGTGTCATGAGTGTATCTGTTAGAGGACAGACTGGGTTATGCCGTGGAAACAAAGAGCACCGACATCTCTCCGACTGGCAGTTCTAACATGTTGCATGTTTATTGCAGGTCAGATTCATCTGGCTCTATGTCACATTCTCTCCAGGACCCCAGCTAACAAAGCAGCCCCTTTTTGGAATATTGCCTGACTCTTAGCAGAGCGAGAAAAGAAAAGGGCACAGAGGATCACATGCTGGCTCTTCAAGCTTCTGTTCAGAAGTGATACACATTACTTCTGCTCAGATTTCACGGGCTGAAGCAAGACATGGCTAAGCCTGTATCAATGAAGCAGATAAATTTAATTCTCCCAAGTAGGGACAGCAAATATTTTGAGGGATTATGCAGTCTACAAGAGAAGATGATATTAATAAGTTTATGAGGATAAATCCACGTAACTTCCTATGGACATAACTTAGTGCTTAACTGTAGTAAAGACTTACTAAATTATCCCACTCAACAAATACTACAGAATACCCGCCATACGCTGTGTACTATGCTAGACATCAGAGATAGGATGGAAGTGCCTGGGTTCTTGGTTACAAACCCATTCTAGCCTGTTCAAGCAGAAGAACTGAACTAGTTGTGTGTTTTAGCTGTCTCCCAGAATCTATGGAGGGCCAGAGAATTTGGTTTCGAGGCTACTATTCTGTGACCAATTCCCGGTCACACCACAGACCAGCTCCAGGCAGCCCCCACAGCCCCACAGTGGGTACAACAAACACAAGAGGTTGTCCAAGCATTGCTGGGTATCAGATGACAGAAACTTCATCACTGCTGTCCTCTGACAGCTTCATGCCCTGATGCCATCCTGGCCAGTGATGAAAGCCTCCTGGTACCTGGTTGTTCACTTAGTACTTCATGATTGGTCTCACACAGTTTAGTGTGACTGGGCAAGCCTGGGCAACCTGCCTGGACTCCAGTCATAAAGGAAGAGATGTGAATGAGTTCTGGATTCTTTCTGAAAGATGCAGGACTCATAATGAAGAAAACTGGCGAGATTTAAGAAGGTGGTCCAAAAATACAGGATGGCCACAAGGCATGATCAACCTCTACCACACAGATAGAAGGAAAAAGTTGGCGTGAACTTTACCCTCATGGAGCTTTATAGTGATGCAGAGATACTTGGTATTCAGGCCTCGTTTGATGGTAGACATCCCTGAGGAAATAGTAATAGAGTTGAAATCTGAAGATAGTAGCAAGCAAAGTAGGAGTTTGTCAGACAGAAGGTGAGGAAAGCGCCTAAGAGGCAGAGGGAATGATTTGTGCAAAGACCCATCAGGAAAGTGCTAGAAACCCCGTGAGGGGCTAAACAAGAAGTCACTGAATCCAGTGGGTAGAAATCCTGTGGTGAGACACACAGGAGAGCAGGCAGGGCTGTGCCTCCACCACCCAGCCCTGCAGAGCTCTGAGAATGTCCAGGGGCATGACGCATGCCCACATGTTGGTTAAGACTGAGACAGGACCATGTATCCAGTGAAATCTCCCCAGGGCTCTCATTAGGATTTGGAAGCATCAGTCTAGTCTAGTGTTTCCCTTCGAGTGACTTCTCAAATGTGTTATTTGTAAGGCAGCAAGAGAAAAAGAGGGTTTGGTGAAGGAGAGCAGTATTTTGTAAACACCTACCAATTGCCAAGCACTGTGCAAAGGGGCCTTGTATAAATTACCTCATAGGCTCGGTGGGGTTCACACAAATGAGGAAGCTAATTCCCAGCAAGGTTAAGGAACTTGCTCAAGGACATACAGGTAAGAAGGAACAGGAATAAGCTCCGAACTCATGCCTCTGTGGTTCCAAACCCCATGGTCATTCCATAACACTTTGCAGCCAACAGCAGGTGGGGGTGGGGGGAGCAATACCCCAGGGCAGGGTTCTCTAAGCGTGGTCCTCCAGCCAGCCACATCAGCTGGTTTGACAGGAATGTGTTAAAAATGCAAATTCTCAGACCCCACCCAAGATCTGGTGAATCAGAAACTCTGCCAGGGAGGCCCAGGGAGTCATGGGTGTCAGACAAGCCGTCCAGGTAGTACATGGCACAGTTTGAGAAGCAGTGCTTAAGGCTGGGCATCTAAGCCTACCTTGACCATGGCCTCAGCCTGTCTTCTCCTCCCACCGTGAACGCCGTCTCAGAAGTGCTTCTCCAACAGGACCCCAGGTCGCTACCCGCAGTCTGTGCTCCGCAGTGGGGCGCCAGCCACCACACTGTTCACGGATGTTTTTGCCCTGATTTAAAAATAGTCCCTCAGAACCTTGCCCCCGGGGCCCATGAGTAGCAGCATGTGCTTTCTCTGCTCCCCTGGAGAATAGAAGGGACAGGAGGAGTATAAAGAGAGACTTCCTGTCCCTTTGTACTTGTAAGAATGTCAGAGAACTGGAGAAGATTCTCACCATCCTCCATAAAGGAAATCCCACAGGAGGGGCTCTAACGAGGCAGAGTTACCTCCAGGGAAGCGTAAATCAATCAGTGTGTGTGTGTGTGTGTTTAAAAGAATTAGCCACCAAAACTCTGTTTCAAAGAGTGTGGTAGGAGCGTGGTAGGCAAGGAAGAGAGAATCGTGGAAATCAGGGAGAGTGATACGCTCCATGGGATACCTGGTAGAAATAGGAGGTGGGGTCCTGCCAGTCCACCTGTCTGGGTCTGCCCGACTGAGGGGTGTGGGGGTTTGTCATAGGCCCTGAGATCATAGGCCCTTGTTCACAGACCTGGTAGAGCTGCCTCTTTTCTACCCCTTCCGCAATTTCAGCAATTACCTTCAACTGCCAGGCTCTGAACAAATTCAAGGTGTCCCCAAGGCGTCCAACTCAGGAAGAGTGACCCAGTTCTCTGTACCCTGAGACAGCCTAGCATCTGGGAATTGCAGTGTTAGGTCACAGTGCTTCTTTGTCATTCACTCTAGACGTGTGTCAAATGCCCGGTTCATGCCAAGACAGAGCCGAGATCGAAAGGTATGGTGGCAACACCAACCACACAAACTCTACTTTGGATCTAAATCCTAAAGCAGAATTATGCTGACCCATGATTTTTCAAAAGGGCACTGGGATTGAATTGGAATTAAGATTTCGTAGAGTTGGTGGAGGAAAACTTGAGGTTAAGTAGGAACCAAAGCCATTGATTGTCTCAGCCAACAGTGATGGGGAAAAACAAAAACAAAAATCAAAAAACCTCATTCAGTTATGCCCATGGGACTTGTGCTTGTTTCTCTGCTCACTTCAAAGCCCAACCAACTTGTGAAATCTCAGTAGCCTCTTTATTTATATGGTAACAAAAGAAAGAAGAAAACTATCTATATTTGCTTTCACTGAGAAGGTGCTACAGGTACGTACTGGGTTTTTCTTTCTCTTTCTCTCTCTCTCTCTCTCTCTCTCTCCCTCCCTCCCTCCCTCCCTCTCTTTCTTTCTTTCTGGAGAACATTTTTTTTAACCAGGTGCTGGTGACAAGGGAAGGGCCTAGGTTCCGAATGAGCATTTTTCTCTAACAAGACTTGGATGTCAGTGCACCACTTATGGATTATACTGCAGTGTTCACAGAAAGAATAGAAAGTGGAGACTAAACTGATGCTAAAAAATAAGCTGAATTATTTATCAGACTTAATCACATGACTGCCTCTGCTTGTCCATAAGAGCTCGTTCGCCAGCCTCTCGTGGGAGAAGAAAAGTAACACTGAGGTTAAACAAATCCCACCAACATGAACCAAACACAACATTCCTAATTAGTGGGCCCCATCTTTAGTGGGTTAGTGGAAACCATGACCGGGACCCTTTCGTCCTCCTTCTCCACCTTTCCCACTGCCGAGTTGAAGAACTTCCTGTCCAGCAACTATCAGCTGCAGACTTATAAAGACAGTATACATGTGTTGTTGTTGTTTAGTCTCTCAGCATTTTTCAACACCTTTCTTGTGATTGGGAAATTCCTCACTGGAGACACCAGACCTTCCTTCAAAGACTAGGGCCTGGCATGTGACTTAGCTGTTGCCATCAGAACCACCTGCTTCAGACTTTGCTTTAGAAGCCAGTGACCTAAAGGAACAGGTACCATGCAGATTTCATTTGGGTGAGGATGATGGCAGCCAGATCCAGTTTCCCAAGGTAGCAGTGATGGGGCAGTCCAGCAGTAGCTTCCAGTATCCCCACCCTGAGAAAGGGGCCATTCCTGTGGCCCTCAGCCCAGATCTTTTATCCAAAATTAGGCATCTCTGACTATGTAGCCTCTAAGCCCAATTTTCTAGCCCTAATGGAGATTCTGTAGGTTATCCATTCTCCAATAAGTTCTTTTTCAGCCTAAATTGGATTCTATTTCCTGCACCCAAGAATCCTAACTTGTACGACATGTTCTGTCTCATTCAATCCCCAGAACGACCATGTAGGTTAACCTCATTTCATAGATAGGAAAATGGAGAATATGAGCAGTTCACTAAGCCTAATAAATGGGAAAGCTGAGTTAGCATATCTCTTTTTCCAATTTCATGGTCTTTCAACCATATTCCACTACTTATCTCCAAGGGAACTTAGAACTGGAATTTCTTTGATTTTTCTGCCTCTAGTCTTCTATCTTTAATTTGTACATCATTCTTTTTCATTCCTTTAGCTACTTCCATCTTATTGCTTACTGTGACCTTCCAGCTTCCGGGACCCTATGGAATGTCTATGTTACATCTCAACTAGCTTTTCTCCCCCCTCTTCTTATCATGTTTATACAACCAAAGTCTGATGGAAATGAAAACACTAGCATGTTTCAGTTTATACATCTCGAAATCAATGTGCAGCCTGTACAAAGCTGTCGAAGGAAGGAGATTGTTGTTGGCAGGTAGCCCCTCTCCATCTTGCCTGTGAATGGGGTGCTTAGAGTATCCATTCTCCTATAACGCTTGTGGCTTGCTGTCATCTCCCCCACCCCTTTGTGCACACATATGGGCAGCCTCCCTGAGTCACTCAAGCCTTCTCTCCTCCAAAGGAGCTCAAAAAGTTGTCATCTCAAAACTCTTCCTCAGTCTCTCTCCTTTAAGCCTCTCTTCTGGTCAGCCATGGGGTAATCAGCCTCATGTCAGATGAGTACCAAGGCCTCCACCCTTGGTAGAGCTACAAACAAGACCTACTCATCTAAGCATTGCAAGAGGAGTTGACAACAGTTGCCAATTGCCTGACATGAGGCCTGTGTTCTAGTCATAGTGGCACCACCACAGGCACTGGGATCCCCACCCTTGCAGAAAATGACGCTGTTTATCATAGGGTGGTGCACTAGACTTTGTCTCTCCTACCTCCATCTATCATCCTTCTTCCCTCTCAAGTCTTGGGAAATTTGGGGGTTGGTGCTCCTCAAAGTCTGACACTCTCTCAGGGTCCTTTGTCTTTGGAATTTTCACTACTAGTGAGCACAAGGTAGACACTGGGAATAAGACCAGCTGGGAATGGCAGCAAAGAACGATGTAGTATTCTAAATCACTGTCTGTCACTCAGATGTTACAGACTGAATGTCTGTGTCCCTCAAAATTTATATCTTGAAGCCTAACCCCCCATGAGATGGTATTTAGAAGTGCGATATTTGCAAGGTAATTAGGTTTAGATGAGGTCAAGAAGGTGGGACCCCATGATGAGATTAATGTCCCATAGGAAGAGGTAGAAAGACCAGAGCACCCCTCCCAACTCTCTCTCTCTCTCTCTCTGTCCCATAAGAACAGAGCAAGAAGCCAGAAAGAGGGCCCTCACCAGGAATGAATCTGCCCGCATCTTGACCTTGGACTTCTCAGCTTCCAGAACTGTAAGAAACAAATGTCTGTTGTTTAAGCCACTCAGTCTGTGCTATTTGTCATACATTGCAGCCCAAGCTAAGACAGCCATCATCCCATCATCATTATTACTGATTAGTTCTTCATAACACCTCTAAAAAGAGGGGCAGAAAATAAACAGCTCCCATTTCCCAAGTGCCCACTCTGTGCCATGCTCTGCACCAATGATTAAGTTCTTTACTTAATTTTTTACAACAACCTTACAATATCATGTCTTTTGTTTTGGTTTCCTAAATAAGAAAACTGAGCCAATGAGAGAATAGACAACCAGAGTTACATGGGTAGTATATAATAGAAGTTTGAGTTGAAGCCAGAATTTTGGATCCCAAAGTTTCTACTGTAGCAAAATGAAATTTGAGAACAAGACTTGCTTTCTCAAAGGTACATAGAAAACAAGATGTAGATAAACAAAGATTTTTGTCTTTCAAAGTCCAGGGTCCAAGTGTCTATTTTTGCTTTGGGAATTTACAGAAATGTAGATGCTAGTTGTTTTTTCCTTAAACTAGTTTATTTCATTTAATCACTTGTAAACAGTACTTCCTTAGTTGATAAACCTAGAGATTCAGACACAGCCATGTCTCATTTTAATATATCTTACAGTGAAACTACCAGCAAAATGCAACAGGAAAATGGCATTCACCCCAGGATGGCCTTACAATGTGGAGCAAAATGGAGGAAACACCATCCTCACATTATCAGGCCATAGACTTTGAGGCAAATTTTAAATGGACTATAAATGAAAAAGACTGCCACCAGATAACACAGGGAATTCCAGAGTTTTGCCCCCCAAATTTCCTGTTATCTCTATTTGCCTACACCAGGGATTTTAACAACCACTACCACCAAATTATTATGCATTGGATCAATTTCAAAAAAAAAAAAAAAATCCGGGAAGCAAATAGAGGAGGAAGTCTTCCTTATTTTTTTTTCTTTCTGTTGAGCATGTTCTTCCAAGATCTCATGATTCCAAAAATATGGAAGACAGTTCTGCTAACTAAACAAACAAACAAAAACATGAATGCTAATTCACTCCAGATCTAGAGTGGAAACAAAGAAATCTATTACTCCTTGTGACGAAATTCAAACAGGCAGATAGAGACTAAGAGAAAAGCAGGCCAGCTTGAGGATCAGAGAGCTGTTGTGTTTTTCCCCCTTCGTCTGTGGTACCTTTTTCCCAGTTTTCTTACATGAGACAGATACCCAGCAAATTAAAGTGAAATTTCTTTGCCACCACACCTGGAAATTAGGGGAAAATACTGTTCCCATTAGCTGAGTTAGAGGTCAGTTGATGGGCAAATATACATGTTCTAAATTCTCAGTGCCATGCCAATTGCAGTCAAAAATAGAAAAGTTTAAAAACAAGGTCTCATCC